ATGCACAAATCACTGGCAGTGGGGTATGAACCCAAGCGCTTGATTTGGGACAGTGAAAAAGAACTGTCACTCACCTACTGATCTCACCAGGCAGACTCTTACGATCGTTTTGCTACAATATGCAAATTCGTTGTTCTTGTGTTTGTCACTTTTTATTAGGTGCAAGATTGACTAAATGTTTTCAAAACTATCAGAAAACTGAACGTTCTAAAAGAAGTTGCTTGGCTGAGAGGCAAAGTGACTGGCATAATTAAATACTTATTCTCTCGTGAAACTCCATTATTCAGGCAAACATCGGCACTTGAGAAAAAGCCAGTGTCTGCTTAAAATTAGAAGAACTTTGCACTGCCTTTTAGCTTTGCTTAATGAACATGCAAATATACTCATGACACTTTAGTGTATATAAAGCACCTGTCAGCTAAGGTGGCCTACTGGTTATGGTTACTGACAGCTGACTCGAAGGTCGCATGATCAAAACCCGGGTGACATGAAGGCCTCATTTTATGAGAACGTGAAAATGCTTGAGACCCGTGTTTTGATAAGACAGATGCAGCTAGTTGGTGATTGGGATTCAACATATTTGCACAACGCAATACTACAAGGAGTTACGACGTAACTACAGAAGAAGAGACCAGGACCGAACGAGTGCTGTAGTAAGAGCGCAGCGCTCTTTCTGTCCTTGTCTCTTCTTCTGTAGTTACGCCCTAGCTAGTCGTAGTCTTGCGCTGCGCAAATATGCGGAGACCGGTGTACTGAGAGTGAATAATATTCCTCATCAGCCTGACTACGCTCAATGCAGCACAAAGGCCTCTTCCATGTTCCGCCACTGAAATCGGTCCTGTGCTTGCTGCTGCAATTTAATAACCGCAGACATCGTAATCTCATCTGCCCACCTAACTTTCTATCTGCCACTTAGCCGCTTGCCTTCACATGAAAAGCCGTCTCTGCTCCTTAACAGCCAGCGGTTACCTTTCCTTCGCGCCATGCGCCCTACCAATGATAGTGTTTTGTGCTTGATTTCTATCTTTATTTTTTCTTTTTTTGTTTCTTTTTTTGTTTCTTTCTGTACATGTACCGAAAATGGAGCCAGGGCAAAAGGCTAGGAGTCTGACAAAGGCCTTTTGCACCAGATGCAGTGAGGCACGCAGGCCATCATAACAACTTAGCACGATACAATTAGTAGGAATGAGAAGGAAGATAAAAAAGGTACACAGGCGAAATGTTAAAACGCATACAGCAACAATGAAACATTGTTAAGCGTAAGCATATATATTTCGACTATTAGGTTCATAACACCCATTTGTTTCCTGAAACACTTTGCTGTTATTATGTCCCTAGGGTTACACTTCTCAATTTCTTTTCTAATGCTCACTGCGTCGTCATCAAGTTAAGTTGAACCCTGCTTGTAATCCTACACGTACCTTCTCCGTAGGTAAATATTGGTAATAAGCAGCTTGATTTACCTTCCGCTTGAAGAATAGTGGAAATATACCAGTTATTATTTTAAAGGAGGCCAAAAAGCTGTAGGCCATTGTGCTCGGAATTTTGTGCAGGTTAAAGAACTCAAGGCTGTCGAAATTCCCGCAGCCCTCCACTATGGCGTCTCCCATAATCATAGGGCAGTTTTGCGACTTTAGACCTCAGATATCAATAAATTGCCAGTCAGGATTCTAGAATTCTGGCCGAGTGCACTGCGCCTCATTCTCATTCAAGTAGTACTCACCCAGCCGAACCGACAGGTCCGGCTCCAAGGGTACTACTTTTCCAAAGTACACGTGCTCTTTTACTTGTCCAAGTGCACTACTACATGTATCTCGAAGCGCTTTCTCTTCCGAGGTGATTGTACGTTACTTTCGTATTCTGCAGATTAGTTTGAGGACCTACTATTCTGCACCCCCTGTGTAATTTCGTAATCTTTAATGGAAATCTATCCCCTGTCGCACTCAGCAATGCAATGTCATCGACAAAGTGCAGGTTACCAAAGTAGTCTACATTAACTTGGATCCGTAATTTTTCTCATTCTATGCATCTGAAAACATCCTGTAAGGATGCGGTAACCACTACTAGGGAGAACGTATTCCTTTGCGTTACCCCTTCCTTCACTGGTACTCTGTCGCTTTATTTATGGGGCACTTTGGTGGTAGTGCATTTCTTGCAGGTTGTTCATGTATTTTTCATCGACGCCCTGATTCCGCAGTGTTTGCATTAGTGCTGATATCTCTATTGAATAAAATGCCTACTCATATTCTATAAAATCTATGTATAGTGGTTGGGTGTATTTTGAGGGTTTTATTATTGTTACGAGAAGGAGACCGACTCGAAAGAGTAGTCAGAGATGTATTTACAGCCGGTTAAGCGAGCAGCGCCAGCCACACAGATTAGCTCGCGCCAGTCTATATGCTTTGTCTTCTTCAACTCCCTGCACTGGCACGCAGCATGACCCCCGGCGGCGGAGGCACCGTCCCGGTGCTTTAAAGGTCATTATCTGAAGCATTTTTGTAGGGCTTGATCCGCGAGACGTGTACGATATCACTGGACTGCACAGCAGATGATGATGGATAGATGGGGATGACTCCGTAGGTGACAGGTGTTACTTGACGCAATATATGGTAGGGCCCCGTGTAATGAGACAGAAGTTTTTCTGATAGGCCCAGCCGACGATGAGGGGAGCAGAGTAAAACGAGGGTACCGGAAGTGAAATGTACGTCTGTATGTTCCGCATCGTACCGACGGCATTGGTTGGTTTGCGACGCCATCAGCCGAGCGCGAGCGAGCTGACGGGCATGATCGGCTCGCGTAATCACGTCGCGGGCATACTCGCTGGTGGACGAGGTGTGAGCTGAGATGACTGTGTCCAGTGGTAAAGTCGGCCCTCTGCCGTACAATAAGTTAAATGCCGAAAAGCCCGCTGTGTGGTGACGGGAGGAAGTATACGCGAACGTTGCGTAGGTTAAGGCAAGGTCCCAGTCTCGGTGGTCGGGCGACACGTACTTAGCGAGCATATTTGTTAGAGTGCGGTTAAATCGTTCCGTGAGGCCATTTGTTTGAGGGTGGTAAACGGTTGTAAGTGTGTGTTGCGTGGAACAAGAACACAGAACGTCGGCGATGACTTGGGATAGAAATGTACGGCCATGTTCTGTGATCGAGAAGCTGTCTCGGAGCACGGTGAATCAATATAACGTCCCGTAACAAGAAGTCAGGGACGTCGGCTACACAGCTGGTTGGAAGAGCTCGCGTAATAGCGTAGCGTTTAGCGTAGTCTGTAATAACGGCTATCCATTTGTTTCCCAATGTTGATGTGGGAAAAGGACCAAGCAGGTCCAATCCAACACGATAAAATGGTTCCGCAGGTATGTCAGTTGGTTGAAGATGGCCAGCGGGTAGCAGCGATGGTGTTTTACGACGTTGGCATTGGTCACAGGTGGTGACGTATCGGCGTACCGAGCGAGAAAGGCCTGGCCAGAAGAAACGGCACCGGACACGCTCGTACGTTCGAGATACGCCAAGTTGTCCAGCCGTGGGAGCGTCGTGAAGTTCGGTGAGAACACAGCGGCGCAAATGCCTAGGCACAACAATGAGAAGGTCGGGCTCGTCTGGTCGGAAATTGCGACAGTATAGCACGCCATTTTGAATGTCAAAGTAACTGACGGAAGCGTCATTTGGGGAGAATTCCATACGGCTGATGATGTCAGGCAGCACTGGATCACGCTTCTGTTCTTCCCCAATATTAAGGATGTCGGACACTGACAAAGTAGAGTTCTCCGTGGGCTCGTCAGTGTCCTCAGGATCGTCGAAAGGGTATCGGGGGAGGCAATCGGAATCATGGTATAGGCGGCCAGATTTGTAGACCACCGAATAGGAAAAATCTTGCAGGCGCAAAGCCCAGCGACCAAGGTGGCCTGATGGTACTTTCAGAGAGTTGAGCCAGCAGAGCGCGTGGTGGTCGGTAACTACCGAAAATGGACGTCCGTATAGATAAGGTCAAAATTTCATTACTGCCCATACAAGAGCCAAGCACTCACGCTCTGTGATCGAATAGTTACGTTCAGGGGCGGATAGGAGGCGGCTGGCATATGCAATAACTCAATAATGGCCATGTTGTTGCTAAGCCAGCACTGCACCAATGCTATGTCCACTTGCGTCTGTACGGATTTCCGTAGGGGCCGCAGGGTTAAAGTGTGCCGGAATCGGTGGAGTATTGAGAAGAGCGATGAGAGTCGAGAACGCAGAAGCCTCTTCGGAGCCCCATGAAAACGGGACGTCTTTCTTGAGGAGCTGCGTAAGCATCCTCGCTATGTGCGCAAAATTTTTCACAAAGCGTCGGAAGTAGAAACATAGTCCGATAAAGCTGCGTACATCCTTCGCAGATCGTGGTAAAGGAGAGTTTTTGACGGCGCTGATTTTTGCTGGGTCTGGTTGTGCGCCGTTGGCGTCTACTAAATGGCCAAGTACTGGGATTTGATGGCGTCCAAAGTGACATTTTGATGAATTGAGCTGCAGGCCAGTGTGACGGAAGATTCCCAAGATGGCTGAGAAGCGCTCTATATGAGTTTCAAATGTTCGCACCTCCACCAAATAAGTTACGAAAAGGAGACCGACACGGAGGGCTAGTCAGAGATGTATTTACAGCCGGTAAAGCGAGCAGCGCCAGCTACACAGATTAGCTCGCACCAGTCTATATGCTTTGTCTTCTTCAACTCCCTGCACTAGCACGTAGCAATATCACCTGATTGATAGTATGAATGCGCTGGATTGTTGAGTAGCCTGTTCGATATCCTGCTTGATCCTTTGGTCAAATGTATTCTAATGTGTTAATAATTCTGATAGCATTGAGCTCTGCCAATAGCATGTATACAACGGAAAGGTCGCGATTCTTCTAGTTCTTGTTGTACCCTTTCTTATGAATCAAGGTGATGTTAGCAGTCTTCCAGTGTTTTGGTAGCTTCCCCGTCAGGTGACACCTCCGTCTCACACAACACAATCTCTCCTCCATCTTTTAGATTTTACTTGCAGGTTGACCAGAGGCAAGCATGAACCGGGCATCCATACTCAGGACTGTAGTGGTGCTCCTGCTTGTTTCCCTCGTCGAAAGGTCTCTGGCTTTGCCTGATGGAGCTCCCGAAGGCACATGTGATGACATGATGCCTTTCCACGTTGGGTCCAAGCATCTAAATGGAAGCGACTCTCCGTATATGCTGGTGCAGGAGAAGGAAACATTCGAGCCAAATGAAAGCATCTCAGGTACGTAGACAAAGATAGAAGTGTGTTTTTATCATGCGAAATTTAAAACCGCCAAAAATTAGATGGAGGGAGAAAATAGAAGCTTCCGATAAAAAAAATGCGAAGTAGCGGTTGCGCGGATTCGACGTTTCGACAAGCGGAGCATTCTTTCTCAATGCTAGAAGAGAACTGATTTTTTAGCGCTAGTGTGTCAACGCTTCGTACCCTCTATACCCTAACAAAGGAGTAGGAAATGGTCACATTGGCTACGCAGTGTAGGGGCGTGGTAGGGGGAGGGGTTCTGGTACGAATTGTGTGAGTGAAGAGTGCTTAGGCGTTGCGTGATTAAGAGGAAGGAGAGGAAGTGCTCGGGAGGTAAGAATGAGCTTGAAGGATTCGTTTGAATGAATCACGGTTGCCAGAAGTTAACGAATGATAAGTCTGATACCTTAAGCAGAGAGCTTTTTTACAGTTGTTTCTTTGTATGTATCGTATCAAATAGATGCAAGAGCCAATTAAAAAAATTGGCCCGAATCTACATAATACACTATAAATGTCGTCGAAAGACGATAGTCTTGCGTCTGAAGAGAGTGAAAGAAAGGTTTATTTTGTGTTCTGCAAATTAAATCGGTGAATGGTATTCTGAAGGCGTTTCGTTAGAGTGCCTCGACCGTGTAACGAAGTCAAACAAGCGCATCTATAGGCACGTTAGGCACGAGTGCCTTCTGGCAGGTATTTTCGAAAACGAAGGCGTGCGGGACCGCAGAGAAAGATGCGTCCAAGTCACGGAGTTGATAAGGTGTACAATGCAAAGCGACGGGCAGGCGCCACCATCGTGCCGTCGTAGCAAAGCGTTAGAAACACCTTCCTGAGCATCGCGTTGCAATGTCAGCGCAGCGCGTTAAGCGCTACAGTCTTTAGAGTTACTTGTGTGTGCCTCTTCTAGTATGAAGGCAGACATACAAAACATAGACATGTTGTTATGTCCCCTCTGATATGCAGAACATTTGCTTTTTAAATTGAGAATCGCACAACTATCAACGCTGAACCTTGAGCAATACTGGTGGGTGCTGCGGATGGAGCTGGCCGTTTCGTGCCGTTTGAAGTAACGTTTGGGCGGACAAACAGACAAATGTGCAGTCAGAGAGACCAAATGTTTTCGTCAAAGGTCCCCAAGAAAGACTATCGTTTTTAAAACCTTTCTACATACTGGCTCCAGTGTACTGAGCTTGTGAAAAGGTATGACTCTGTATATTTTCGTTCACTTACGAAAAATACGTTTCGCTGAAGTTCGGAGTTTGATATCGCCCTAGTTGCATACTGCTACATTTTAATGCTGTCCCACAGCTTTCGCGAATTTTTCTGTATCCGCGTGATGACTGTTTAACTTGACCTTAGCAGGCTGTCCTGTTTCGCCAATGTTTTGTTTATGAGAATATGAACACACGATTATGCAGATCATATTATTGATGTAGGCCTGTTTAGCCTGAATAAATAGCTATGCTGATCGGCTTTGTTTGTTTCTATTTTTGACTTTATTTAATAATACCCTTGTCACACGGGCAATTCCGAAGGCCATTGAGTCAATTGTCTATCGAGTCTACGAAGCAACAAAATCTCCATTGAAACTCAAATGACTATTGAATGACGGAAGCGGAAACAGCGGTTACGACGTGGCCACTGTTTGACTGCTCAACAATTTAAAAACGAAACATTCGTTATGTATATGTATAAACAACTTTTTAAAGTGTTTTAGCAAATATCCAGGCGCGTGCATTCTTTAAATATATATATATATATATATTTATATATATATATGTATATATGTATATATATTATATATATATAATAAGGGAAGAAGTGTATACCTAAGGGCTCGTTTTTCCGTGTTTTAACAAAATAATAATGAGATCTAACAGACAGTAATGCCAAGTAATGTACAGGGGAAGTTATTAGAACCAATAGAACGTAAATAAGAAGAAAGAAAAGTGGATGAAAAAATAACCAGCCGTGAGCAGGAATCGAACCTACGACCTTCGAATATATATATATATATATATATATATATATATATATATATATATATATATATATATATATATATATATATATATATATATATATATATATATATATATTAATGGTTGGTGAAATTCAATGGATCCGGTGGAAAATGCCGTCGTCGGAGTGACGAAGGCAAGCCCACCTGCCGAAACGTTAGTAAAACTTGTGTTTTCGCACGTTTGTCGACCTCTTTGCCTACCGTATATATATATATATATATATATATATATATATATATATATATATATATATATATATATATTTATATATAGATATATATATATATATATATATATATATATATGACGCTACGAAATGGAGACACGTCGTGGTCCAGATGCTATGCGTTCATTCTAATTTATCCGCACTTCCTCTTTGTCGGCTTCTCCAAGAATCACCTTGTGAATGCGTGACACTTCCCCCTCCCCTCGAGAAAGTCTCAGTTCAGAAGGTACAAAATAACGCCGCAGTTTGCTAACATGCACAATGTCGGAGTTTCTACATAAGGGTAGCACGGAGCGGTTGATCTCATAGTTTACTGTTGAGACCTTGCGTAGAATCTTGTAGGGTGCTTCCGTGAAGGAACTCAGTTTGCCGTTGTTGGGATGCCATGGTGTCTCGTAAAGGACAAAGACCATAAATGACTTTGTTCTTATTGTGGTAGGCGGCAGAATTGGTAACTGCAGTTTTTCGTGCTACTTCGACAGTTTCTTCTCGTTGTTCCAGTACAGTAGGATAAGATGGAATTCCATACATCAGGAAGGAAGGTGCGTAGCCAGTCACTTCGTGGGGTGTTCTGTTGTATTCGTCAATTACCCCCGGAAGCAGCTTAGTCTAAGACTTCTGTGGTTCTTCATTGATCTTACATTTATATCTCGTTACGATAGTCTGGTTTGTCCGCTCGTTCATGCCGTTGCATTGTGGATGGTGAATGAGGTGAATAGTTGATGTATACGATAATGTTTTGAAAACTGCTTGAATTTTCCTGCAGTAAATCTTGTTCCACGATCTGTAAGCAGCTTCCGTGGTTTTTCAGAAGAAAAAAATGTTTTTAAGCATGAAATGTAGGCGTCGATGTTCTCACTTTTATGAGCAAATGCACATACGTAGCGAGTCGCATGATCAATAACCAAGTGTATAAACCTTTTTGACGAGCCATATCCAGAAAATCCTCCCATGGTGTCTATTGCAAAGAGGTCGAAGGGCTCTTCAGCTGGAGGCAGTGATTCAAGCGTCCAAAATTTTTTTGTTTTCATCATCTTGCATCTGTGGCATGTATCACAATGCCGAATATAAGTGGAAACTTCGGTTACCATATGTGCCCAATAATATTGCGGAGACAGGAGTGATAGCGTCTTCTTCACTCCGACATGCCCAAAATGTTGATGTGCATTCTTCAGAATGGTTGGGCGTAGTTTATGGAGCACGTATATTTTCCGTAGTCCTTTTCTTTTGACGATGATGTTGTTATTTTCTAATGAATGCGTTCCTTTTGGACGCTCATTGTTGCATCGCTGAAGGTCGTCGTGTGATAGAAGATTGACTATTGGGGCTCCGGAGAGCGCATCTGCTTCGACATTACTTGCGCCCTTTTGATGTTTGGTGTTCACATCATATATTTATTTATTTATTTATTTATTTATTTATTTATTTATTTATTAGAATACACTCAGGGCCCGTAGGGCGTTACAGAGAGGGTGGGTACAACATATATAACACACAAGAAAAAAAGACAAAATAAAGAAACATGTATCAGATGCGCAAATCAGGAAGGCAACATAAGTCAACTAAAATGTATAAGAATTCAAGCACATACAAGACAAAGATAGATAATGGAAACTGCGTATAGTTACAAGCATTGCTGAGAAATTGCAGTCTTGAATAACAAAGGGTCTGTTATTGATACAACGGAAGAGGGCTGTTTTCGGTAAGAAGGCTGCTGAAAAGATGTTGGTGCGGCAAAACGGAATGGCAACCTTATGCTGATGATCAATGCGCGATGAGTGGTATGACGGTTGTGAAATGAGGTCTCGCTTCATTGATGGATTGTGAAAAAATATCTTATGAAAAAAATGCAGTCGCGCCAGTTTCCTCCGGACAGTTAAATTGGGTAGGTCAAGGTTAGATTTCATTTCTGATATGCTAGCAGTACGGGAAAAATTAGAACAAATGAACTGAACTGAGCGGTTCTGAACAGATTCTAACGCGTTAATTAAATTTTGCTGCACGGGATCCCATATAGCGGACGCGTACTCAAGCTTTGGGCGAATTAGTGATCGGTATAATAGATTGACAGTTTCAAAGATCACCGGAAGAGACGACCTTGAGGATTTTTAACATTCTTCAGCCACTGAAGTGCAGAGTGACCTGCTACAACAGTGAATGACTTTCCATGAATGTAGCAATGCCATTTATCAATGGCATCTACAATGGCAAGACGTTCTCTTTCTGTAACAGCATAGTTCACCTCGTTCTTAAGTAGTTTGCGGGAATAGTAGGCTACAGGATGTTCTTCGCGTTTGTCATCAGGTTGTTTCAGCACTGCACCGATGCCTTCGCCAGCAACGTTACTTGAGCCAGGTCAGTTTCGCTGCTCCCCGCGCGCCGGCACGAGCGGCTGACGCGTGAACTGATGGCGCTGCTGTTCCGTCTTGCTTCACATACCACGCCGCGCGTAGCGACGCGCGTGTTGCCGCTTAGACACAAGACGTTTTCGGCACTCGGTTGCTTCCTCGCGCTATTATTTAGTGAACTGTCGTTCCTTACAAAAGAGTTCTAACATGTGACAAGAGCGCCAATAAACAATGCCTTATTGTTGTGCCCCGGGCTGCAAAAGCGGCTACGGAAATGACATTGGTCATCATTTGTTTGAGCCACCCTGGGATCGCGATGAGTTTAAAAAAAGCCACCCGCATATTCCCGCGAAAAGAAGTCGAGTAAATGCGTCACATAGTGAG